GACTAGTGAATCCTATGAGCCTCATCAATCTCCTCAAGTTCCAAGAGAGTGGTTTCTTTTGATTAAATTTACAGAGAATGAGAGAAGGATAAATGACGCGTTTAGCGTAATGGCAAGTCTGACTGTGACGCTAAAATATTCGAGTATTTTCCTAAATAGTTTCCATCCGTGTGCGCCACTGATATCAAGGTTTTAATAGTATCAATATTCTTACTCTTCATCTCGGTTACTAAACCATACACCAGAATAAATATCATCAATCAAAATATAAATTCATAAAAATGTTCATTCCTTTATAAAATTTAATTCCGCCCTTTTAAAAATAATAATAAATAATAAATAATTTGTTATTTTTTACAAAGGAATTCATTTACTCTCAGACAAATTAGAATCAATGGAAAGGAATTGACTCTTTGCAACAAACTCTGATTTTCAAATCCCTATATCTTTGGATTCCAACGTCGTAAACTTTTGAAATTTCAAACTATGACTTTTGTTAGATCAAAAAATATATTTGCGTTTCGTTCCGCAAAAATTGCGCAAAAGTTTTGCGAATGGAAACCCTATATTGGGATTAGAAAATTAGAGTTTGTGGCAAAGAGTCAATTCCTTTGTCTGAGAGAAAATGATACATTTTTAGGAAATAATCCCCCCCATCCTATATCAATTCTTCCCCTGAAGAATGAATAGCCATCAATCATAATAATATTTTTATTCAAAAAAAGGAATGGTTAACGGAATTTTACTCAATCTTAAAATTTCCCTTTAACCTTTATTTAAGCAGAGAAAAGAAAATGACCGTACCTTCCAATGACTTTTTTTAATGTTAGACTTTATACTTTATAGAATTATTGATGGCACTTATACAATACACTAAGCCAATTATGCTGTCTAGCGAAGCAACTTTGATGACCGAGTTTTGAAGCATGTATTAAAATTTCTAATCTTTTAAAACAAGAGTCTGCCCCCCCCCCCCCCTACCCCTATTTCAATTTATGTTAAATTTTATTCTAAATTCCTGAGGAGTTTGCTGTTAGTAGGGTAAACCGTGCAAGAGCCTAACCAACAATATTAAATTATTTCTCAAATTTGTTTAAAAGTTAAAATAACTTATTTTAAAAAATTGTTTAAAACGAAAAGGTTTGACTACTTTTGAACTTTTGCAAATGTTTTCCTATTTGACGGATATTTCTTAACAAGTCTTTTACATACTTACGAACCCCACAACATCTTTTACCATTAATGATTTGAAAGAAATAATCAATATTTTCCTGCACAAATGCATTCCGCTCCAACTCTAGGTGGAATATACAGGAGATACGGATAGCACAACGGATACCCTCCAGACACAGAAGAGATATCTCAGGTTCATCACAATCCTAGATAATCAGAAATTATTATCAAATCTGACCGAAGGTTTCTTTAAAAATAGTTTTCTTTCTCGAGTCGGAAATTACGCAGATTACAGAATTTCTCAGAAATTAACGCCGCCATTTTGTATTAGTCGCCATTTTTAATTATACGCGAAATTTTCATACACATTGGTTACAGAATACATTTGTGTAATAATTAGAGTTAACATTTACATACTTGAAGGCCAACACTGAAGGCAGCAAGGAGAGGTGTCCAGGCAATCTTAAACATATGCTTGACATAGATTTCATCTGTTGCGGTTGTGAAATTCTGCTTCACATGACTGGCAGACTCCATCAAGGCCTATTTTCATATCATTTATTGGATTGGTTTAAATGCTAAAAAGTCAAATGTATAAGATGTACATTTGAGAAGTATTTTAAGAATGAAGAGACGTGACTTCGAGTGACCCTGCAATATTTTAAGGGCATGTTCAATTTACAATGGTATCCTTTAAACCTTCATATGATAAAGGATGTGGGGAGATAATCTCATTTTCCATCTGAAATATAAGTGCCGAGAAACTCAAGTACACTCTACAGTTTACACTTGAGTCGAGTCGAGATCAGGACATTGTGAATAGGACATTCAACTCTTTACGTCCCTTTAAAAAATTCAAACCGTAGCTGAATTCCGGATCAGTTTACGATTAAATAAATGGATAGATTTCCTTGGCGGTTTGACTGATACTCTCCAGTTCTATATTCCACAGCAGTTGCTTCTTCTTCTGGTCAATAGATTTACCCTAGAATTATTTAATTATCAAAATATTTAATTAAGAAAAAACTATCAAACTACTATTAACTGGGTCGTAAGAGAATTTTGTTTATAGTATATATCTCGAAAAATGCAAAGTCGCGCGACATTTCTTCTGGAATCTTGGGCTTAAGTCTTTCAAGTTTGCATGTAAGACTTTGTCCAAGACTTTGGTCTTAGATTGTCCTTCAGATCTACCAATCCAAAATTAGTGACCAAAAATAACTCCGTAATTTACTTATAAACAATAATTCTAGATTTCTATAATTCCAAACCCTTCATTAATATCTCTGGGATTTGATTTTTTTTGAGATCTACAATCCTTTCCAAACCCTTCATTAATATCTCTGAGATTTTACTTTTTGAGATCTACTTTCCTTTCCAAACCTTTCATCTATATCTCTGAGATTACCTGGTTAACTTGTAGAGATATACTATCCTTTCCAAACCTTTCATTTATATCTCTGAGATTTTACTTTTTGAGATCTACTTTCCTTTCCAAACCTTTCATCTATATCTCTGAGATTACCTGGTTAACTTGTAGAGATATACTATCCTTTCCAAACCTTTCATTTATATCTCTGAGATTACCTGGTTAACTTGTAGAGATATACTATCCTTTCCAAACCTTTCATCTGTATCTCTGAGATTACCTGGTTAACTTGTTGAGATCTACTATCCTTTCCAAACCTTTCATCTATATTCTGAGATTACCTGGTTAACTTGTTGAGATCTACTATCCTTTCCAAATCCTTTCATCTTTATTTCTTCACACATTTAACAATAAATTAAACGATTTGTGATTTATAATTTGTTTCCAGGGTTTATCCCTTGATTGCCCAAGCTGAGAGCAATATTATTTTAAGTATATCAAACTAAAGAAAAATGTTGAGAAAAAAACTTCTAAAACCGCTTTAAGGTAGAATATTAGAAGAAAAATATGACAGCATAAAAAATAATTTATGACCAATTTCATGTACAAATCATTCCCCCCCCCCCCATTCTGATATTTTTTCAATAGTTGAATCTTGTTTTATTGTTAGTTCCTGATTCTTCAATCTGATCGTAAATACTGGAAAGGTATTCAGGTGGTAGATCCTCGGAATCGTTTATTCCTCGATTATTCCTGATAAATGCTTCTTTACTCATCTTATGCTTCACCTATATTCCAGATACAACTTCAAGGATAATAATAATTATACGAGGCGAAGCGGAAACAATTCTAAAAGATAATAATTTTTATATGGTTTAGTTCAACTTAATTGTTTCTTAAAAGTTTCGGAAATTATTCAACCTGGAAGACCTTGGAAAATATATACTCCTCTCAACTCGAGGGTTTTTATCTTTAGAAGATTTAAATAAGCAAGAAGTAAAAAAAAACAGGAAAGCTTGATTTCATATATTCTATAAAATAATCTAAATGAGGAAAATTAGTTTGAATTAGTTGTTCAAGGGTGCCTGGGCGGAGTGTAGATCGGTTGTTAACATTATTATGGAGAAGGCCAGAACATACGCAGTGTCAGCTGACGCAAATATTCCCTAGAAAATACGCAATTAAGTTGGAAAATTCTTGCAAAATAATAATAATATCAAGATCTGAAAGGCCCGTACTCGATATGGCGCCTAAATATATATAGGTCCCAAATCCTATGTGAAGATCCTTACAAGGAATATACTCCTTACCTGATTTGGATTGCACTCGCAGTATCTTGACGCAAACTTCTCCATGAGACGATCAACTTTCTGCGCCTCTCCAGGAAGTCGGAATCCTTCCAGGAAAAATCTAGAAAAAATCCAATAAAAGGAATTGTTCACGGAAATTTAATAACTGCCACATGCAATTGAAAACGATTAAATCAAAACAGAGCAGACTTTAAGGGTTGTTCTACTCACATCTCTCAACATCTATCGAAGAGAAATCTTTGTTTATCCATCTTAAAGTTGAGTGTTTAAATTTTTTTTTACGAGAGAGTTGATTTCTACAATACAAACTAACAAGAAAATGTCAACACAATTTATAAGATTTCAAAATAAGTTTTTCAACATTGTTCATCCAATAAAGATTAAAATATTATGTTAGTCTCCTAACGTCCATACAGGATAAAAATTGTTAAATTACCCAACCTGAGAGCCTGCACCAAGTCCTTCCCAGAGAAGTCCAACATGTCCACGTAGGTGTACATCACGGACCTGTTGAAGGGATCCGGGTCTCCCAGGAAGTCTCCAATGATTGTCCTGTCTAAACGCATATCGTCCTTGCTCAGAAACTCTGCCACCTCTTTCACTTCTGTTCCTAAACACACAAGTTGGATTTATGAAGAAATAAAATACATATAAAACTGGATCACTCAAAAATCCACCTACACATAACCAAAAATTAAAATTTTCCCCTTTGAATCTTGATTTTTATTTAGGGTGAGGGGGGCGAATAAGAAAGGATTGGATGTAGCAAATACCTACTCCATAACAATTTTACTCAAAACATATCTATCCAGGTCTACCCGTTACCAAGATCAACCAGGACTAATTCTCCGATTCCACACAAGCAATATCTCAACCAGGCTTAACACTCCGGTTTTAAAGGACACACAGTCCAAATCTCAAGTCGTATAACTCAGCGAGGCCCCAAGCTATTTTTCAAGCTATATTCGATTCAATTGTCAATTATCAAGGCAAAATCTAGCTCGTATGTTTCAACGAGAACCCAAGCTATCTTTCAAGCTATATTCGATTCAATGCTAAATCAACTAGCAAAGATCTCCGCTCGTATGTTTCAACGAGAACCAAAGCTATCTTTCAAGCTATATTCGATTCAATGCTAAATCAACTAGCAAAGATCTCCGCTCGTATGTTTCAACGAGAACCAAAGCTATCTTTCAAGCTATATTCGATTCAATGCTAAATCAACTAGCAAAGATCTCCGCTCGTATGTTTCAACGAGAACCAAAGCTTTGTTCCAAGCTTACTATGCTTCTGATAACGTAATCAAAAGCAGAGTCTCAATCAACTCACTTTATTCAATAGCTTAAGGTTACAAGGTTAACAGAAATTGACGTAATTCAATTCATACGATGTTAATGGTATCACATAATTAAGACCATCGTATTTGTATTTATCGCACAATTTATCGTACATATTAAAAGGATTAAAAGAGAAAAGATCTAACGCAGTAAATTTATCTCTGCGCATATTTTATAGCTTATGTCGCATGATTTAAGCAAATCATGTTAAGTTTTCAATTGAAACGCAGTTTCAATGAATAATATCATTATGTCTAAGTTAAAAACACAAAATAATTTATGATTTACAACGTACTGCAAGTTTACAGAATATAATGTTTACGCACTTTTTGCTGTATAAATTCTGTTATATCCGGCCCCACACCACTACAAAATAAAAATATAATTGGTGAATATTTGTGATGACAATGATAAAAACACCCCCCGCTATAACCCTGTAAAGACTAAACCTACCCACAAGTCCACGCTTCTGTAGAAAATCTAATCCTTTCTTAGGTTTCTGATTAAACATATTAATCCCGTGTTCCAGGATCTCCTTCTGCTGTTTCAAGCTCTGGATCTTCTCCACATCCTCCTTACTCAGCTCACTCGAGCTACTGCTACCCTTCAGCTTATCCTAACCAACAAATATAAGAACAAAGGAAATCAAATAAAATATGGCTTTAAGGGAGGTCCTACAATACAGAAGTTAAACTCGAGATGACTTTTATTCTTTGATGTTGCTGGTTTTTGTTGTTGACGACCCAACTTGTGGATCGTCTAGGATCTCGTAAATCTCTATTTGAAGAGCTTAGACCCGACATCGGAGCCATATCCCGCTACTTTGAAATGTTAACTATGATCAGGCGAAAAAAAAGGGTTAAATAATTAATTCCTGAATATTTACCCAGATTTAAATGAAAATAGCCTGGTCCTTGGTTAAAGCTTGAGCAAATTCTCTCAAGATTTAAAACTGAAACTAGCATAAGTGCCCGGCGTTGCCCGTGAATTTTAAAAAAGAAACGAGTTTTTAAAAAATCGATTTTTGAACAAAAAAATTAGAATTTTTTAACCTACCCCTCGGCCATTCGGTCCAGCCGTTTGACCAGCTATAGCGGACAAATATATATATATATATATTTATTAGCGAAGAGCTGTATTATATAGAATACCAGCTGTTTAACAAAACTTATGTTATTTAAATTCCCAAATAAATATTTGTTGTTTAGATTCCTTGTCTGATTTATGATCTGAAGATAGATTACTCTGAGTATGCGGACTGACATACAAATCCTGAAATTATTATTATTATTAACATTATACTTCAACCAACAGTCAAAGTACATATCCTGTAGGTCAATATATTTATGTTACGTTGAGCTCAAAAGAGATTTTATAATGATGGAAGAACTAATACAAAGAATGACATATTGCCCGTCCTTCCTCGCGTACTGATATAATGACATATAACGGGTGGCCTGGGAACAACCCATGGTTCATTGACAGGACCCCCCCCCGTCCCCTACTTCTTCTTCGGATCTGGAAATTAAATAATTAGGATATGAAAGCAACAATATAATTGTACTGCAGTTTGTGGAAGGACACTAAAGTAAATTGTGATATAAACCAATTATTTCTGGGATAAAGCGTCATTTCTTTAATAATGATATTTTCTTCCTTGGTTTATTTCGTATATTAAAGATGGCGAAAAAAAACCTAAAATCATTTAGATATGAACAGTACACAGGATATTCTTGACGTCTCTAAAAATCGCAATTTTTTTTAGCAAAGCAATTATCTAAAAGAGATTAGTTAAATTTGACCTTAATCCACTCCACCATACATTTGAGAATAGCAACCAGGCATTCCAACCCTTTTATTCGGATAGATTTCTCCTAAACAAGACACATTAAAACTGGATTTAAAATATAAAAGAATGTTTGAAAAAAAGTACAGGAGACACAAATCAAAGTATAAGGAAAATATTTTTCAAGATTATAATAAAGAATTTAATTTCTAGCAAAAATCAACAAAGTAAAAAATTAGTGTTTATACAAAAACAATTCGTTATTATCATTTTTATCAAAATAAGGGAGGTTCACATTGCACATTGCACACTGAACATTGCACATTGCATGTTTAAAAATAAGAATAATTAACCTGTATCATGGTCACCCCAAGGTCCAGTGCTGCTCTACCCTGACCTAGCTTGGACAGGTTGTTGATTAACCTCTCGAATATATTGGCAGCGGCCAGGTCGCAGTCGTAGTTCACGTAGATGTCGACAACACTCTGGGAGTCGTCGCAAATACGGGTTAGTGCCTAGGTTTTAAACTATATGAAGGGGGGGAAATTATTTTCGAAATTTCGGGAGGAGGGTTGTATGAAAAACCTCTTTTTGCTACTTTTTATCCAAATTTTCATTTATTTTCCCCATTTCAGCGAATAAACCCGTAAACAAATGTTGCTCCACACAGAGCTATCTAACATTTTAAAAAAAAATCAGGGGGGGAGTACGTAAATATTCACTCCTGGTCAAGATTATGTGCACACGTCACCCAAAAATAAATAAATAAAGGGGAAAACTCCCTAGCGCTAATTCCCCTGCCGCTGAAGAAGAGGTTTAGGAAATTCTGGATAACCCCGTAATTCACTAGAGAGAAACCGCAATTAAAAGATTAAATTTCCAGATAGAACAAAGTTTTAAGAAGCACCTTATAGATTCAGACATGTAACTTTCTAAATGGAAGGTCACTAATCACTTTAAATGGAGGCTTACTAATCACTTTAAACGGAGGGTCACTAATCACTTTAAATGGAGGGTCATTAATCCCTTTAAATGGAGGCTCACTAATCCCTTTAAATTGAGGGTCACTAATCACTTTAAATGGAGGCTTACTAATCACTTTAAACGGAGGGTCACTAATCACTTAAAATGGAGGGTCATTAATCCCTTTAAATGGAGGCTCACTAATCCCTTTAAATGGAGGGTCACTAATCACTTTAAATGACATCGACAAGCCTTTTAAAGTTTGTATGTAAATTATCTACCTGTATGACAAGCCATTTATGTTGAAAGCTAGAAGTATTGGTTTCCAAAATATTTAAGAATATCTCCTGAATATTCAAATCAAATTTTAATTTTAATATTTATTGGGAAATGATTCTGATTCTTTCATATGGTGTTAGGTTTTTTTCCCAAAGGCATTTTCCCAAAGCATTTTCCCAAGGGTGACTTTTCAATTGACATTTTTCTATATGGAAACTTCCCAAATGTACAATTTCCCTAGCAGCAACTTCCCAAAGGTTATGTTAGGCTTTCTGAGGCGCCGCAGGCTGCAGTTGTGGGCCAAGGGTTGCGGCTAGGATGGGCTAGGGGGCCAAGCGCTACGGTTATACAAGATGGGGCAGAGCGCTGCAACTAGGACAGAATTGGGAAGTTGCCGCTTGGGAAATTGTACATTTGGGAATATCACTGGGGAAAATACCATTGGAAAGTTGATGCTTGGGAAAATGCATTTAAGAGAGTAATTAACATCTTTAATATGAAACACAACGAAATTTTAAAATTAAAACCTAGAGGAAACTGTAAGGCTACATGTTTTTAATGCAGTAGACACATATCTGTATGTATCATAAAATCAGGATTTTGATTTAAGAATCTCCATGTCCCATAATAAGTTAAAATGATTTTCCTTGAAGAAAATCTCAATTTGAGATTTGAGATGTGTTTTAAACTTGATGAGGAGGGAGAGGAAGATATCCAGGCTCAACTCAAACACCTCGTTCACGTTGGAAACTCCGTTCTACATCAACATCAACATCAACATCAACATCAACATCAACATCAACATCAACATCAACATCAACATCAACATCAACATCAACATCAACATCAACATCAACATTCAAAATAAAGATTATTGATGAAAATATAAACTAATGATTAAAATGGCGATGATAACAATGGAAGCATGATGTCAATAATGATGAGTATGACAATATGATGACAATTCCAATGATGAGAATGTCTATGCTGACAAAATCGATGAAACGATGCTTATCATACCGGTAAAAATGATCGGGGATGATTATGCCAATTATGACATTGTCAATTATAATAATAGCACTGCTAAAGTTCGTAATAATAATATTGACTCCAATAATAAAGACAATACAAGAAAAATTAAAATAACAATAACATTCAATAATTTAACGCTTACCTTAGATAAAGTAACGCAAAGGTATTGTTTGACCGCTGATATGAACATCTCATTGCTCTGGAACACGTGCCCGGCGTTCTGCACTACACTCAACAGTAGTTGGAGGGACAACGTCTTTGACCTACAATAACCAATATAAAAAATTAACAACATCCATTAATTCATATCCGGATTCTGAATTAGAAAAAGATCATGAAAGACCCCTAATCCGGATTCTTTATCCGTCTTGTTAAATATTATTCATGTATCGTTAATCCCGTCCTGTCACAGTTCCCTTCAGACTTAAATCTCAATCGTTACGCTAACTCTCTTCTAATCCGTGTCTCAACATAAAGTTTCCACAACGTATTTTCACCTTAGTTCATGTGATTTGGGATCAGGGGGTCCATCTGGTAAAGCCTTCATCGACAACTTGCATAGAGATCTAAACAGTTCAAAACATAAATTGTCTATACCATATTTCGGCAGGAAAAAAACGGCATATGACTTTTTAGGTTTTTGTAGATTGTATGATTGAGAAATTGGGGGCGTGACCTCACATAGTAAGCTGTGCAACTGTCATGTTTAGTAGAGGGGGCAAAACGGAAAAGTTTAATGTTCTACCTAAATATTAGAAATGCATCTTTCTGATAAATATTATTAAATTTAGGTAATGAGGCATCATGCTCACTGCTTGCCAGACTTTCCGAGGAGCCCTGAACAATAAACTTTCCAATATTAATAGCATCGCCTTGTTGAAAGAATTAAATCGAAAAACCATGTTAAGAAGTCAACTATCAGCTGTACAAGAAATTATCTGCGGCCATGTTAAATTTTAGTTGAAATTAAAAAGTCTCATTCTTCTTCGACTTTTTTAAGAAACCCCAGATATAGGATTTATTAAGATGTGTAAATTAAAGTTAGAAATATCTAAGGGACGTTTGAGGTGTTTTCCAGAAACATTTATTTAGAAAAGCTTTGATATTAATATTTAAAGATTCCTTGAAGTTATAAACAAAATCTTTATCCATTCTTGAAACTGTATCCGTCAGTAGGTCATCTTATCAAATCAAATAATTATTAAGATACTGAAACTATTTTTAAAATATGGTTTTTAGGGTAAATAACAAAATGTGCCAAAAGCAAACATCTCTACCAAGTTAGATAAACAATGAACATTACTTTTTAGTTGAACTCTGCGAGAAACAAGGGTTTGTTTTCCTGTCTGGAATACTTAAAACGTGGGCTATAAAAAAATTTGCAATTTTTTAACTTTTACGGCCGCAGCTGAAGCTCAGATAGATATTTTTTGATAAAACGCCTTACAGAAAAACATCAAGCCTTTTTAAAATAAAGTTACATCTTTTTAATAGGTTTTAATTAAATAGATTCTAGTACAATAATTGGCAACGTTGAATTTGTACACTCTCAGTACAGCTGTATTCTTACGTCACAAGTGTCAATAGCTTTATGTGTCCGACAAAATTATTAATAATAGTGATAATTATAATAAAGTGCTTATCTTACGGTAAAATAAGTGCAATTTGATGTGTTCTTTATTGTCTGTTTTTACACTTTTTTATTTAATCTTGGAAAACATGTCAACTAATGTGAGAAAATTTCGTTTTCCTTTTTATATTTGACACTTGTGACGTCGTGTATAATTTGTCAATTTCTCTGTTGCCACCTATTGTACTTGAATATCAATTTGGATTTAACGAAGAAAATGTCCCATGTTGAAGGGGGTCCGGATTGAACTTTTCTTTAAATTATTTTCCTATGATAGAGTCGACCATGAGAAGGTTGAGATGATGATCTGGATTCTCTAGAACAGGTTTAGGAGATGCTATCTCTTCTTCTGCAACAATCAGGTTCAACAACATACAGTAGATTCCAAAATAAGAGATAATAGAGTAGGTTTGGGTGAAGTGCAAAAACATACTTTTCTTAAGTTTTTAAGCGTCAATACATAAATGAAATGACTAGACTTGTAGGGAGCTTCACGTCCTGTTTACTAACAATCTAAGCTTTCAAATTATTAACTTTAAATTTTTCGCGGATTTTTCTTTATTATTGTTGGAGTGGATTAAAAAAATTCCAAATATACATTTAAATGCCATTCTAACATTCAGCATTAACTGTAAATTGATTCACGGCATTTTACGGTCGTCTTTTCCGTATAAGGTGTTATGACGAGAGAAATCGACATTTTTAGGAAATATTTATATTAAATTTAAAATCATAAAATATATATATGTTATTTAACTAATAATTATGTACAGTTGAAGTCCTTAACAATTATTATGAAGGCATTTTTAAAAAATCTTAAAAGTTTAACGAAATTAAACAATTCTGTATCAGGGGAACCTGCTTTGAATTCTATTTTGTAATAATAATAGTATTATGTTCTATCAATTTTATTTGAGAAATTTTTTTCTTAATATTTTAAAACAGGTTTTTAAAATAGCCGAGTCAAGGTAATTTAAGAGATGTTGATTGAAATTTGATCATTGCCTAAAGTTTTGTTCTCCATTTTAACAAATATGGCAGATAAAATTTGGTTCAAGGTTGCCTATCACAAATATCAATCAATCAATGAATTAACACAGTTGGTTTGGTAGTCAACATCTCGGTTGTTAAGTTCATAATTGATTAGTTTGGTAGTCAACATCTCGGTTGTTAAGTTCATAATTGATTAGTTTGGTAGTCAACATCTCGGTTGTAAAGTTCATAATTGATTTTTTCGATTAAATGATTGAATTATTCCTTGGCTGTGGTTTGATTGATCATATTCTTCGAAGCCAGATAGATATTGTAACAGGTCCTAACAGAGTTGAGAAGACTGGCCTCATGAACCTCGACATGCTGCGAGGTCAGGATTGTCAACAAAGCCTTAACAATAAAAATACATTATCGTTGTACACTATGTACAGTAACCATTATCGTTGTACACTATGTACAGTAACCATTATCGTTGTACACTATGTACAGTTACCATTATCGTTGTACACTATGTACAGTTACCATTATCGTTGTACACTATGTACAGTAACCATTATCGTTGTACACTATGTACAGTAACCATTATCGTTGTACACTATGTACAGTTACCATTATCGTTGTACACTATGTACAGTTACCATTATCGTTGTACACTATGTACAGTTNCCCCCCCAAGAATCTAGGGGTATACGTATCCCCTTCTAAAAACTTGATCTCTATTCTCCATGTCCATGATTACCAAAAAAGGAAAGATATGAACAAATCTGTATGAGGACCAGAGAAGCATATGGTCCCTACCATCTTATACTTTACCTTTAACATCTGTAGTTGGACCCCATCATCAGTATGTGGACCAGAGAAGCATATAGTATCTACCATCTTATACTTAACCTTTTTTATCTGTAGTTGGACCCCCTCATCAGTATGTGGACCAGAGAAGCATATGGTCCATTCCATCTTATACTTTACCTTTAATATCTGTAGTTGGACCCCCTCGTCAGTATGTGGACCAGAGAAGCAGGCACAAATGGTCTCTACCACTTTATCTATCGACCTCTGGGACGGATTACTTAACAAAAATAAATAAATATGAAATTTTTTTAAAGATCTTTTAGACATACAGTGATAACCAGAAGGCAGAAAACTCTGAAATAGGAAGACGACTTTTAGACTCAGTTATGACTTTAATAGTCCAATGAGTATGAGAAACAGCAATTGTGCAGTGATAGCAGACCCATTTTACTTAAATAATGATTAAATTAGTGTCTAGTAAAATTATTTGCTTTGTAACAACATCAAATACACTTAAGTATTGATTTTATGTCATCTTTTTATTCCATTGTTTTCTGGTTATCACTGTAACTCAAATTTCGAAATGTTTTATTACGACAGTTTGATTTAAAATAGTAACTAAGAAGAAAAGAAAATACAATCAATAAATCAAACGTATAATAGTAAAAATGGTGCTAACTAACCTGACGCAGACTTCATTCCCAGTAAGATGACCGTAAGCTATAAGTTTCTGAAGTCCGTCCAGGCTGATCACAACCAGCTTAGCACTCTTAGACTGACAAGCTTAACAAAAACAATATTATACTAAAAAAAAATTTTTTTAATGTATTAGATGATGAGGATCAACAATCAACATTAGGGATACAATTTCTTTGATCTAGATCCAGAGTTTTGCTGATCCTGATCAAGATCTAGGAAAGGAAAAAAAATACACAAAACGAGCCTTCAACTTGTTACTTTTTACGCTTGAAATTCGAAAAAAATCAAGAAAATTTAAATTGATTATGAATTGTATCTGAATCCGGATCAAATTCCTCCAAATCCGGATGAAGAAGATTAAATTCCCTGCTAATCCGAGAATTTTTGAATTTACCTAATTCGAAGGGTAGAAAATATTTATCAGCTCTGATCCTCGAAGTATCACAGGGTTCAGGGAGGACAGATGATCCATCACCTTCATCTGAAATCAACATTTTGAATTAATTTACCACAAAAAAATATTAAAGATCTCGGAGCTCGGAACCAAGTTGCATCTCAAAATTAAATTAAAATCTTAAGATACATTAAATTTTTCGTGAAACCCTTTTTCCACCTCATAACAATAATAGTAAAATATCTAAGGTTTTTTCCACAGGGGTTAACTATATGATTTTTTGGAGAAAAGTACGATTCCTATTTTACCTTGTTCTCCTACGCTCTCCTTTATCTCTTGCAGCGCAGCCTCGCAGGCCGCTCTCAACTGGCTGTTATACGACTTCTTCGTTTCCCTGCACAAAAACGTTAGTATTTAAGAGCATGAATCATTCTTGTTTTGGTTCAAAAATGATAAAATCGTTGTTATACAGTATTACACACAAAAGATGAGGTTTAAGCGAGTTGTCTATGGAATTTATTAATTTTTTTTTACGTTTATAGTTTCCTAAATTTCAGGCAGAATATAAAAAATTGAACTTTAAATCATAATCTTGAAAGATGTTTGGTTGTCATTAAAATCTCATTCTTTGTGGAGAACCCTGTATATTAATATAATTATTATATATCTTACTTTTCAGCCAGAATCTTGGTGAGCGCTGCGATTATAAACATTTTAGCCGTTTCTTTTCTTCCTTGACTATTTACAGCAAAGCGTTAAAATAAAAAATGTAAATAGTGTTTGTACGGATTTCATCTATAAAGACAAACATAATCCCATAGGTAGAATCATGCATGGAATTACTTCTTATTGTCAATTTTTAATAATTGAATCCGCAGCATTTTGGCTTCCTGGATCCGGAACCTCAAAAATATGCGGATCCACGAGTCAGGATCCAAGGGGGAAAATATTAACCAAAAACTGAAAAGAACAAATTTTTTCTCTCAACCCCAAATCTGAACTCTCTCAATGATAATTCGTGTTTTAGCTTAAAAATAAGCAAAAAAGAAGATGATTAATTTGATAATTATTTTTTGTTCAAAAAGTCAGTAAATCTTCAAAACGTGTGTATGACCTGAATCCAGATACAATGTCTTAACTCTTGTTAAAGAACTGTTTGATATAATAAAATAAAAATTAGTGTGCAAGAACGAAAAGAAACCCTTAACTTTACATTTAAGTTACGCCAAACTAATTTTAACTATAGAAACAGATTTTAATATTGTCATGTGTACTAATTCATTATGAATCATTTCTTGCGTCATCTGAGATAACCATCCCACTAGTAAACAAAACTATTATGTACAGAGTGAAATCCTCTCTTCGCAACATTGCTCTTTAATTCTATTGGGTCTGTCATAGAGAACGATTTTTGCCGCCCCCCCTCCCCCACCGGGGCCCCCATTTCTATCAATTTTGTATATGACCTAGGTTTAAACTGTGTTCAACAAAAACACATTCATAACTATTAATTCAGAGTTAGGTTAGGACAACTTCTTAGCCGAGCGCAGCTGCTAGGACAGGCTAATGGGCCGAGCGCTGCGCCTAGGACAGCTATGGGGCCGAGTGCTGCGGCTAGAACAGGCTATGGGGCCGAGCGCTGCGACTAGGACAGGCTAGGGGACCGAGCGCCGCGGCTGAGAAATATTAGGGGGCCGAGTGTTGCGGCCACATGACCAACTTTATCCATATGTTAAATATGAGATGCATTTACAAAACTGATAGGAGGAGGGGAGGGGGGGGGGAGCCCAAAAATCGTTCTCTAGAAAATTACCAAACTATTTATTAATTTTATCGTGAAACTTTTAATTTAAATGAATTAAAATTAACATTTGCTGTTTTACCCTTTCACTAATATCATTTCATGTCACCTAACATCTGAAATAAAAAATATTCAAAACATTCAATTCAAATTAATATAAAAGTTAAATTTATTATATGTAAAAATAACTTATGTCAGTTCAGTTTCTCTTTTAGGATCATTCATATGCTTATCAGTTCTCGTTAAAAAAAAAGACAATTTCGAATCAACCAAAATATCAAATTTCAGTCTGAAATTAGGAGTAAAAGCCTGGTTAGAGGGTAAAATATGCCCCACCCTTAACATTATTCACAGAAGTGTTTTGTAGTGTTGGAACTGACGCAATGCCGAGATAAATTCTTAAACGTTGAGAAAATGTCGTCTTTCAAAGAAATTTTATTTTGAAAATTTTCCGTCTGCTGTCAAATCAAAACACAGCTGATGGCGTTTGTCTGCTATGACTTCTACAATCTACAGTTTATACTCAATACTTATAAATCTCCAAACTTTAACGCTAAAATACACACAAAACAATCGATAACCTTAGTATTTTCTGCATGTAAATCTTTTCATTAACTTTATACAAATTCATTAAATGTTTCATAATTCATGTAATTATTCTTTTTAAATTTTCTTATTAGTCCGAAAATCGCTATTTGAGCTATTTTAACGATCCATTATTATATGGGACAACATGTGTAGAGCTATGGGTACTTAGCTCCCGGCCCCCTTAAGAATTCTAGAATACTGGGAGAATCTTAACAAATATAAGATTTAAAATGGTGGAAGAAACTTGTTCGACAGAATGTTGTGGTTCTAAAATGGGTATAGCTATAATCGAGTTTAAAACTCATTTTTTTAAAAATATAATCATCAATACCTCGATATAGCATTGTAATATTCTTTAAATTTATGTTTTTATACTGTTATTATTTTATTAAATTTATAAGAATTTCGTAAAAAATACTGACATTATTGTAAAGATCTGCAGAAAGTTTTTTACCATGATTTCTTAGTAGCTTTAAGTACTATTCTTCTTTCTTCCTAGGAAAAGTTGAACTGGTTCCTCGCCCTAGTGATATAATGAAAAACGATGTAAGCTATAGAACAATTTTTTTCATTTTTTCAAAAACAAAAATTAGTATTAAAATGACAATTTCCTATTTTAATCCTAAATATTTGATGCTCAAATTACACACGTTATATACTCTGTATTGAAATAAAAAAAATGTTAATTTTTCATGACATATTTTTTACAAAAAGAGGTTCCAACTTCAAGTAAATACTATTTTATATGAAAACCTTGGAGTCATGGTATTTTTATTAGGAAGACCAAAGTTGGCTGTTTGGACTTCATTGCAGAAAGTGTAAAAAGGTAAAAAATACTGTTTATTCTTATTTTGAAATTATTTTCCTGAATTAATGCGATTTTCAGTGCCCTTATTTGATCGTTCCAAAAACACTTTATAACTCCCAAGAAGCGGAGTTTGAGGGACAAGACTTCCAGTTTCTTGATTATAACTCTACACAAGATATACTAGAAGTTCAAAGTTTACTAACGGTAAAAGAAAAGTTTAATGAATATTGAAAGAAATACTGATATATTTTAAAAACTTTTCAGACAGAGGAAGATGGTTGGAGCGTGGCAAACACTAACTTTAAAAGGTATGAATTATTATTCAGAAGATAATTTATGTGTTAACAGAATTGTATTGAATTAATTATTGCTAGTCTTTTAGAGCGATTGATGCAATTGTATCTAGTAGATTTTTCCTATGGAATGTTGTTCTCAAGTCGCCAATTTTTATATTTTACATTAAAAAACAAGAAAAAATCGTGTGTTTTTTTCAAATGTTTTTGATTGCAATATTTTTTATTCTGGCCAACTATGAACCTTCCCTGGGGTCAAGTGAGGTAAAACTATGTAAATGTGGGCTCATCTCTTCTACCCTTATGACATTTATTTGTGTTACAAAAAAACAGACAGACATACATATGTATATAGAGATTTAAAGGTTCCAGGCTGCAGTTCTGAATAACGCAGTGTATTCACTTGAAGAAGGTCCTGATCAGGACAATTTAGAATCTGAATTTAATCTTCCATATCCTCAGGACCAGGTAGGAAAATAATAAATATGCATCGTAAAAAAACATTTTAAATTGAGGAATCACATTTTACTAAGGGTTTTAAAAGATACTTGGTACAATTTTTTGATAATCCCGTTTTTATAATTTTGTAAAATTCAAAATTTTTTAAACAAATTTAAGCTACACGAATGTACTTTTCTCTGTGTGTGAATAATATTTAAAATTATAATAATGATTTATTCTCCGCTTCTGTAGTTGAAATTATCTGATCCGGTACATCTGTCGACAAACCCCAACTTATTTATCTGTCGACAAACCCCAAATTATTTATCTGCCGACAAACCCCAACTTATTTATCTGTCGACAAACCCCAACTTATTTATCTGTCGACAAACCCCAACTTATTTATCTGTCGACAAACTTGACAGTAGAAAATTTACTCAAATGTCGTCTTCTATATTTAAAATTATTTTCGGCATGACCTTTCTTCAACATACCTTTACAGTTTTGGTTCTTGAAACAATAAACACACAATTTTGTTAGTCATAGTCATGGCATTTCCAAATTGTGGTCTGCCTTTTTTAGGCTTTTCAATATTACCGGAGATATATATAAAGCATTTCGTTCAGGATGCGATTTATGAAATTACAAAATTGTTGAAATAAAACCAAAATTGTTGAAATCTAAACTAAATTCTGCCGATCTTCGGTGATATTTAAAGCACAAGAAAGGCAGACAACATTTTTTAAATGACAGAACTATGGTTACTTTGTGCTTATTAACTCAAGAATAATACTTTTAGAATTAGATTTACGAAAAAAAGTATGCAAAGTTTAAAAAGATCAAAGAAAACCTTCAAGTCGTCTTGCTACTATCATGTTTCGTGGGACACCCTGTATCTAATATTTAGGTTTGGTTGTGTGGTTCTGGTGGGGTTATTGTTGGATTTGCTTTAGTTAAACTTAAAGGTGAGTAAATTACAGATTAAATATAGGTTACACAATCATCCAAATTCGACAACAATATTTTATCATTTCTAACAAAAATAATTAATTTTTAATCTTTCAAAAAGACATTTTAGGTATGCAGATTTGAATTCTTAAAGAAGTTGAGTCTATGACACAACCCCTGATTTTCTAATCCTTTCATCTTTGCAACCCATTGTCAAAAAATTTTATAAAAAGTTTTTAAATTCTTGAATTTTTGATTTTATAGCTTCCGATTGTATAATCAGCACACACTGTTTATTTGTCCTATATATATGTAGATTATGCATTAAATACTGATATATATTTATGCCACTGCTTGTTTTCTCAATGCAAAGCAAATTAACAATTAGTTTTTTATGTTTTTTTTAAATACTGAGTAACTGAAGAAGAGTTGTAATTTTGATTTAAACATAAAACAAACCTGAAGAAAAAATATGTTGCGTTTTGAAGTGTAAACCTATTAGTCAAGAAAATACAACTGAGTTAAAGTAAAAACAACCAACCCTGGTTAGGCGGGTCCAAACTGCATAGTAAATTGTGATTGCTTATTTGTAATATCTCATGCTTTATAGTTGAATAAAAATATGAATATGAATATGAATTATCATATTATAAAGCTCTTCGCTCATATATGTAGTTATAATATATATTTATATATATTGTTAGCTAGCCAGACGGCTGAACCAAATTGGCTGACATTTTTTAGGGAACCCGGCCATGGGTACACCGGGGGTAACAAAAAACTAAGAAATTTTTTTTTATTCTAAAAAAATAATTTATTCCATGGGCAACGCCGGGCACTCAGCTAGTAGTAATCTATAATTCTCACAAGTCAAAGTTGGTTAAAATATATTCAGGAAATATTTCCGGATCTAATTTGTTCATCCGGAACAAGATGAATATTATTGATGCTGTTTACATCAGGTATTGTTATATTTACAAATATAGTATATTTATCAATGTAATTATAATGCAACCCCCCTCCCCTCCCCCGTCCGTTCAATGTAAATCAGAATAAAACTTTCGAATAAAAATCTCAGGAGAAAAGCTAATAAACTAGTTATAACAAAAATTTAAAATATAAACCCTCAGAAGTTTAAGATATAAATTTTTTTAGAAAGTCTCATCGAAGAAAAAGTCTTGCCAAAAAATTCATTTCACATTTGATGAGTTTCCATTCAGGGTAAGATCAATTTTAATTATTGTTATCGAGATCAGAGAGCTTTCTATTGTCAAACAAAAAATAATTCTTGGATGATTCTTGAATGTAGTTTTAGTGAACTTTTATCTAAAAGCTGATGTTTCGCGGATTTTTTAGTAAATAAACTGACCCTTGGCTTAGATGAGTTACCACAACAAATGTTGGCCCCAATCAGTTTAGCCGTTTTAACTCATATTGGACACAAACAAACAAATCAAAAATATAGGTTGTATTATAACTAGGAACCTAGGATTTAGTTCTCCAGTATCTAAATCTATGCTGGGACTACTGACCAGCCTACTGGAGCACAACAAACCTTGGCAGGATAGAATCTGGATCCTGGAGTCAGGGAACTTTAAATTCAATCCTTCACATTCCCATTAAATAGTATTTCAGATGCGGCTTATGTAGGGGGGGGGGGGTTATGATTTTGCCTTAAAATTGACCAAATTCTCTGTAAAAAACGGGAGGAATTTATTGCCAGGGAGGGATAAAACATTTCAAATATTTCCCCCCCCCCCCTCTGGAAAATATCATAAGCCGCCCTTGCCCCCCTCTAGCAATTCTAGTTACTTTACTGTGCTCTATGATGGAATGAATTTGAAATTTAAAATATTAGATGGTTTAGAGTTTAGTGAGAGAAACCTATGGTTGTCACAGAAAATTTCTTTGGTGTAACAAAGGCCCGAATAATTTTTTTTGGTCGGATTGAAATTAGCTCCAATATTTGGAAATTTTCTATTTTTACTTTTTAAAGATAGGCACTGCACATGTTGGTTGTTACATTTCACCATTTCATTTCATTTCAAGGGTACCGTTGTGAATAGGTTATTGCCATCTCTGCCTGGAGGGTCAATTGAAAATACGCTATACAGTCCCTTTTGGCAGTGTACTTGTTCTTGTTTTTTTCATTATATATTTATGCTTTTAAATCATGTTTTTTTAAATCATGTTTCTTTAAATCATGTTTTTTTTTAAATCATGTTTTTTTAAATCATGTTTGTTGGATTGCACTGTGCACTGCCCAGCTTACAAGCATGTAATTAAGAAAATTGTTAAAAAATAATTCAAATTGAAAATTTGTTGTGGGGTTAAAACCACATGTAAAAAGTTTAATTTTAGTTTAATTATTATTTTAATTTTGAGAATTTAATCAAGTTTTTCGACAGTTCTTAATAAATTCATGAATTATTTTATGATTTATCTGACGTGTTATTTTTTATTTATATATTTTAATTATTGCAGAGTTGAAGAATATTTAAAGTTTAAACAATAAAATTGTAGGATCAGGTTTCTGCTAAATCACAATATATCTTTGTTGAATTAAAAATCATGATTAAAGAGAATATGTTTATGATTTTAAGAAGGTATCTTAAAACAAATACAAGAGTTGATTATCAACATAACTATTTAGATCTTATTCTTTAGATAACCTGGGGGCCCCTGAGCTAATTTTACCCTAAAAAAATGTCAGATTTCCTCCTTTTCTTCTCCCTCTCTAATTCACAAATTTCTCTTCACCAAGTTTGATTTGTGACATGAAATTTTGAATAACTGAAGATACTATTTTTTATTCCAAATGATGATAATGACTGTAGCAAAAACGTGTAAACATGATATTCTGTAAACTTGCAGTACGTTGTACGTCATAAATGATTTAATGTTTTAAACTTAAAAGGGGTAATGAGATTATACATTGAAACTGAACATGATTAGCTCAAATCATGCGACATACTTAAATTACGCTATAAAATATGGGCAGAGGTAGATTAACTGTGTTATATCTATTCTCTATAATCCTTTAAGTATGTACCTTAAACTTTAACTGTGCAATAAATACATAATAAGATGGTCTTAATCATGTGATATCTTTTTTTAAGGACATTTTGTTGTCCCCAGGACATGATAAGGTTGTTATAATCAATTCTCGGAATTTGTCTATTGCAACAGTTTGGTGTTGTATGGGTTTATATTGATCTACCAGGTTGTAATCTGGCAGCTCATTCATCCATCCACGCTTCATTCATACTGAGAAAAGAGTTGATAAGACTCCAGCTGTCTAAGGGCTTCTTAGGCCTGAGAATTATAGATTGCAGGATTTCTTCTGATACACTGGAATCAGGCCCAGGTGCCATGAGGGGAGGAAGGCCAACCACATCAATCTCTAGTCCGAACCACATTCTCATCATTTTCTCGTCCGAACCACATCGAAATCCTTGTCCTTTTAATATTATTTTTTTAAGTGTGCGATCCTTGAAAATAAATACATTTTTTTTTAAATATGGCGACGTTAGGGCATAAAAAATGACTAGAATAGAGTTTTCCAAGGATTTTGCGATGTTGGAATCTTCAAATCCACGAGAATGATGTCAAACATTATTTAGGTTCAAAATTGAATCTCTTCTGCCTCCAAAATGGGTAACTTTCACAAATTAAAGTTTATACCAAAGAATTCGCGTGAACATGGTCTTTAATCTTTCCATTTCAACCCATACAAAAAAATCATTGATTTCTGATTTATTTACAATTAAGGTAGATTTGTTGTCCCCACTAAGAGATCACTACTGCCTGCCGCATGCTTAAAATTCTAGAAAAAATAATGTTCAATTTATATTATTCAAATCATTTGCTACAATTAATTGGTCACAACCCTATGAATTCAAACAGTATTTAATCATATAAAAATTGTAAGTCATATCTCTAACCCAAATTCAGCTGAAATATTACAAAAAGTTGTTTACATCGAGTTTGAGAATGTTTTGCGGCATTTTCCGTGAAAGAAATAGCCCTAGATACAGACGCTTTTTTGTAGAACATCGTTTATGGAGCATTTTCATTTTTACACAAATCTAAAATTTAATTGGGAAAATTTGATATTTCATCTATGCCCTAACGTCGCCATATTTTTAAAAAATGTATTTATTTTCAAGGATCAGACACTTAAAAAAAATAATATTGAAAGGACGAGGATTTCGATGTGGTTCGGACGAGAAAATGATGAGAATGTGGTTCGGACTAGAGATTGATGTGGTTGGCCTTCCTCCCCTCGTGCCATACATACAGGAAACATCACACTCATTGCTCCCAATCATTTGTAAGCCCGGATTGGATACCCCAGGTACCTATAGCTGGTAACTATAGACTCTCCCTGCTTGTTAACAGAGACTCTGAGAGCAGCTGAACGAGATAGAGTAATAGAGGAAGCAGCTCTGACAGATCCTGAACAGTAGCAGTTGAATATCTAAAGGCCACCTTTCCTCTCTTCATCATCATTCACTTGGATCAATCCACTTAAAGCTTCTTTCTTGTTGAGTAGAAAGAACAGACCTTTTTGCTGTGAGAATTGTTGACAGCCGCCCCTCTGTCCTCCTTCATCCGTCAGGTGGTCATAACTGCTCAACCAGATGTCGGCTTTAGATGTTTTTCAAACCACAGGTTTGTATGAAGTACGGGAATCAAACCCGTGAACACCAGTCTAGACACCAATCCAGTGTGCTGTGGACAAGTGTGCTTAACTTCAGTTTTTCTAACAAGAACTGGTGTCACACACTCTCCAGGGGCGTACGAGGGGGGGGGCCCCCGCCCCCCTCTACGCGTACCCCCCCTGAGAGGCTGAGGGGGGGCACCCACGGGGGAGGCTCTTTTAATATTACATCTGCTTGCATTTCCCTTCCTCAGGTCAGGCACAGGGGTGTACCTAGGGGGGGTAGTAGTCCTCTTGCCCCCCCCTGGGAGTTCCAAAAATAAAAATTAAAAGGAAACTACGTTTAGATAGTAACACCTGACATTGACAAAGACTAAGGATTTGTCTAAATTCACTGTTAATTCAAGGAGAGAAAAGTTTTAGCCTTCTAAAGAGAATACTTCATTACACAAGATGTACTATGACGGAGAGCAGACTTAACGATCTTGCACTTATTTATAGCTTTTAAGGCTGTCTGAGCTCTCTACTGAAAAAAATCATTGAAATGTTTGTGCAAGCAAATCCCAGAAAATTGTAGCTTAAAAGAGTTGGTGAATATGTAGATTGAGTAAATTCTATCTAAAAATTTCAGAAGAAATTTCGTTTATTAGTAAAAATATAATTTTTAATGATGCTGTGATTATTGATTTAGTTAGCTGTGATGGAGTTAAGTGATAAATTTATAAAGTCAAAAAGTTAGTTTTTCAAGCAAAGGAATAATTTTTAGACTCTAAGGTTAGTAGCACCCAAAAATGTAGTCTTTTTATGGTGAACAAAACAAGTCCCGGTGGAAGGGGGGGGGCAAAAAAAATTTTAAAAAAGTATTAATATTTTTCAAAAAAGGGGTTTTTAAGGGGGGGGGCACAATGTTGCCAAGGGGGGGACCAAAATTTTTGTTTTGCGCGCTTACGCTCGCAGATTGTGCCCCCCCCCCCCTAAATAAAAGCCCTCGTACGCCCCTGACACTCTCCACCCCACCCTACATATGATATCAATAAAATCGTAAGAATTGAATTACGTCAATTCCTGTTAACTTTGTAACCTTAAGCTATTGAATAAAGTTAGTTGATTGAGACTCTGCTTTTGATTACGGTATTAGAAGTAGTCTGTGTTCTTGCTGAATACTGACAACTAGATATCTTTTTTAGAGTTGATTTAGCATTGAATCTATAGTAAGCTTGAGAATATAGCTTTTGGTTTTTGTTGAATTAGACAAGTTGAGAAATTGCCTGGCAACAATTTCATTGGACTGTATGTCCTTTAGTACCGGGGAGTGTAGCCTGGTTGAGATTTGGCCTCTGTGTCATTTAGAACTGGGGAGTGAAGCCTGCCTGTATAGCAATTTCATTGGACTTTGTGTCCTTTAGAACTGGGGAATGAAGCCTGGTTAAGATTTGGCCTGTGTGTCATTTAGAACCGGGGAGCTAAGCCTGGTTGAGATATTGCTTGTGTGGCATTTAGAATCAGAGAATTAGTCCTGGTTGATCTTGGTAACGAGTAGACCTGGATAGATACGTCTTTACTATAATGGTTATGGAGTAGGTATTTGCTTCATGACTAAACCCCTTTTTTTAAGTGTCACCAATAACTTTTCCGTGGTTTCACAAAGTAATTGGCGTGAATAGAGCAAGGCATGGCTAGTTCACCGCAGTACCCTTAAACTTTTATCTAATATACATGTTGTTGTTTTGGAAAACTGATTATTTTCAGTGGTGGGTTAATTTCAAAACTTGCACATTTGTTGCTTCAAAAACAGAAGAGAAACTATCAGAATTAAACACTTTTCAAGCTAGAAAATCGACGTTATCTTCCACATCATTGATCAGATAAAGGTTCAAAGGTTAACGATGTGAATCGTTCATGGCTCTCTTTGAATAGATGGTCACTTATAATTACAATAACAGTCCCTTTATGTAAACCTGTTTTACGATTATACATCTTGATTGTGGTCATTTTCTAATTGCTGTAGATTATATGCTTGGATGATTTTACCTCGCTCCAGTTCATCGTTGGAATTTATGTATATAATATAGAAATTTTATATCTTTTATATTTTAATCTATGAATTTGTATTGACCAAGCTTTTTTAAAGAGACCCATGACCCTGCAGGACGGAAGGAAAATATTTTTCAAAATTTGTTGCCTCGGAAAAATTATTTTATTTACAATGTGTAATTCATATTGTGGTTTGAATTTTGTGAAGAATAATTAGCCCTGAAGATGCATAAAACCGTGCCCTTTGCATCCTTAAACAATGTCCAATTTTTGTCCAACACCATCTACCTACAAAACTTGTTCCAAGGAACGTAAATTTCGGAATATGGTTTATTATTTAATTTGGAGGATTTCGACGACTTTTCATTTAAATTACTCCGAACATTTTTATGTATAGTGATCCATTTCCGA